ACTGATGCTGCTGCTGCTGCTGATGCTCATGCTCACCATGATACCGATTATGATTCTGACAAGGAGGAGGAGGAGGAGGAACAAGAGGAGGAAGAGGAGGAGGAGGAGGACGACGACGACGACAAATATGACGAGAAGGACGAGGAGGGAGGGGGAATAACCAGGATGAGGAAAGGAGGAGGTGGAAGAAGAAGGACAAGAGGATACAGGGGATGATGATACAATCTGTCTTGACGTGACTACGAGTCGAAGGAGGGATGGAGGCGCCCATGATGTATCGGTGCACGGATTGTACCTGCATGGAGGGGGATGGATGGAAGGAAGGATGGAGGCATGGAGGGAGGCTGGCGGAGGAGCCTGAATGGAGGCGGCCTGGATGGAGGGAGGGGAGGGTGAGAGAACAGGGATGCTCGGTGGAGGGGGGATGGAGAAAGGCTGATTGGCAGGAGGCTGGATGGAATGAGGTAGGAAGGAGGGAGTCTGGATGGATGCACGTTGGATGGACGGAGGGGTGGGGGTGGGAAGAGGGATGCTTGATGGAGGATGGATGGATGGACTCTGGTTGGAGTGAGGCTGGGTGGAAGAAGGGTGGCGGATAGGAGGACGGATAAAGGGGTGGATGTCTGGACGGGTGGAGGGCGGGTGGAGGGACCTTGCATGGGGGTGCGCTGGATGGCTGGATGGAGGGTGGATGGATGAAAGCTCGAGGAGCATGGAAGGAGGCTGCATGGCAGGACGGTGGATGGATGGAGGCTGGAGGAGGAGGAGGAGGAGGATAAGCAAGGGGGAAGCGGAGGGGGATTGGGCAGAGGTTGAGGGGTAAGACGTATGTGGTGACCGGTGCGGAGTAATCCCACAAGTCGGGCCTACGAATTTGTCACGTTAATTGTGACGCGATTTGTAATAGTAGTAGTAGTAGTAGTAGTAGTAGTAGTAGTAGTAGTAGTAGTAGTAGTAGTAGTAGTAGTAATAGTAGTAGTAGTAGTAGCAGTAGAAGTAGCAGTAGTAGTAGTAGTAGTAGTAGTAGTAGTAGTAGTAGTAGTAGGAGTAGGAGTAGGAGTAGGAGTAGGAGTAGGTAGTAGTATAGTAGTAGTAGTAGTAGTAGTAGTAGTAGTAGTAGTAGTAGTAGTAATAATAACAGTAGTAGTAGTAGTAGTAGTAGTAGTAGTAGTAGTAGTAGCAGTAGAAGAACAAGAAGTACTAGTAATAGTAACAGTAATAGTTTTAGTAGTAATAGAAGCAGTCGTAGTAGTAGTAGTAGTAGTAGTAGTAGTCGTGGTAGTAGTCGTCGCAGTAGTAGTAGTAGTAGTAGTAGTAGTAGTAGCAGTAGTAGTAGTAGTAGTTGTAGTAGTAGTAGTAGTAGCAGTAGTAGTAGTAGTGGTGCTGGTATTAGAAGTAGTAGTAGCAGCAGCAGTAGTAGTAGTAGTAGAAGTAGTAGTAGTAGAAGTAGTAGTAGTAGTAGTAGTAGTAGTAGTAGTTGTAGTAGTAGTAGTAGTCGTAGTAGTAGTCGTAGTAGTAGAAGTAATAGTACAAGTAGTAGTGGTAGTAGTAGTAGTAGTAGTAGTAGTAGTAGTCGTCGTCGTCGTCGCAGTAGTAGTAGTAGTAGTAGTAGTAGTAGTAGTAGTAGTAGTAGTAGTAGTAGTAGTAGTATCAGTAGTTGTAGCAGTAGTAGTACTATTACTCGTAGTTGTTGTAGTAGTAGTTCTTCCCAGCAGAGCTTGCACTGAAGGGGCCTTTGCGGATATTGAAGGATTTCGCGAAAGTTCCGGGCCGATTTCGGTAGGTGGCCGGGTGCCTAGGTTCTTGGTTCCGGCTTCCCGGGTTCCCGTGTCCAGGTTCCGGGCCGATTTCTGTGGGCGGCAGGGTTCTTGGGTTCCTGGGTTTTTGGTCGGTCTTCTTATCGATCTGTCTCACCATCGATATCATTACCCACCTGTCGATCGATCTCACCATCGATTTCACGATCGATCTCACAAGCGATTTCAAGAAAGATTGCACGAGCGATCTCACGATCGATCTTTTTATCGATCTCCTTGAATCGACTTCACTCTCGGTCTTACGATCGACCTTACAAACGTCCTCTCGATCGATTCCATTATCGATCTCATTGCGAGATCCGTATCACTACCTTTCAAACCATCTACTGCTTGGGTTTTTTGGTGTGATCGTATTGGTAGTAGTAGTAGTAGTAGTAGTAGTAGTAGTAGTAGTAGTAGTAGTAGTAGTAGTGGTAGTAGCCGTAGTAGTGGTCGTGGTGGTAGTAATAGAAGTAGTAGTAGCAGTAGTAGTAGTGGTGGTAGTAGTAGTAGTAGTGGTGGTAGTAGTAGTAGTGGTAGTAGTAGTAGTTGTTGTTGTTGGTTTTAGCAGTACAAGTAGTAGCAGTCGTCGTAGTAGTGGTCGTAGTCGTCATAGTAGTAGCACTTGTAGTAGTAGCAGTAGTAGTAGTATTAGTAGTAATGCTAGTAGTAGTACTAGTACTAGCTTTACTACTGCGACTAGTACTAGTATTAGTCTTACTACGAGCAGTACTAGCATTAGTCGCAGTCGTTGTTGTAGTCGTAGTAGTCGTAGTAGTAGTAGTAGTCGTAGTAGTAGTAGTAGTAACAGCAGTAGTTGTGGTAGTATTAGTGGTGGTAGCAGCAGTAGTAGTACTAGTTGTAGTAGCTGTGGTAGCAGTAGTAGTAGTAGTAGTGGTAGTAGTAGTAGTAGTAGTAGTAGTAGTAGGAGTAGTACAAGTAGAACTAGACATAGAAGCACAAGTATAATTATAAGCCGAAGTAGAAGTAGGAGTAGTAGTAGTCTGCGTCGTCGCAGTAATCGTTGTCATCGTCGTAGTAGTCGTACTAGTAGTAGTGGTTGTCGTCGTCGTTGTAGTAATAGTCGTAGTCGTAGTAGTAGTAGTAGGAGTAGTAGTAGTAGTAGTAGTAGTAGTAGTAGTAGTAGTAGTAGTAGTGGAAGTAGTAGTAGTAGTAGTAGTAGTAGTAGTAGCAGTTGTTGTGATAGTCCTGGTCGTGGTCGCAGCCGTCGTAGATGTGGTAATCATAGCTGCTGGGTAGGTCCAGTAGTCAAAGTATAAGTTGTAATCGTAGTAGGAGTAATATTATTCAAGTCGTTCTACGAGTAGTAGTCGTAATAGTAGTAGCACTAATAGTCGTAGTTTTAGGAGTGGTAGTAGCAGTAGTGATAGTAGTAGTAGTAGTAGTAGTAGTAGTAGTAGTAGTAGTAGTAGTAGTAGTAGTAGTAGTAGTAGTAGTCGTAGCAGTAATAGTATTAGTAGTAGTAGTCGTAGTAGTAGTAGTAGTAGTAGTAGTAGCAGTAGTAGCAGTTAGTGGTAGTAGTAGCAGTAGTAGTAGTAGTAGTCGTAGTAGCAGCAGCAGCAGCAGTAGTCGTAATTAAAGGAGTTGTGGTAGTAGAGGTAAACGTAATGAGAAGTAGTATCACTAGTAGTTTCCGTGGTAGCAGTGCTCAATGTCTTGTTGCGGTCGCCGTCGTGCTGCTTAGCGTCGACCCGTTCGCACGATGTGCTGTACATTGGTGGATCTCAGAGCCGCGATGCGGCACCTCATCGTCTGGTAAGCATCGTGCTGCCGGCACCTGGCTTGCTGTTCAGCATCATGTTGGTGGTAATTACCCGATGCGTTGCTTACGAGTGGATGCCAAAGTCGTGGTGTGGCACATCTTCTTGCCACCCAGCGACGTGCCGCTCAGCACTGGTACTCAGCAGCGCCTCGTAGCACCACGACTCTGACATCCGCCGGTCTCTAGAAAGACGGATACCAGCATCGCGCGTGGCATTCGGCAGGCAGAGCGGATTCATTCTACGGCCTTTGAGTGCGGTGGACAGTCGAGCCCGATATTCTGCATTCCTCCCGCCCTCCCATGTCCAGAGCAAAACAGCCGATTGCAGTTGTTGTAGCAGCGTGCTGGAAAGGACACTGATCCTGATCCTCCATCTCCTTCCGAGCGTGGCACAGCCACAGTGGGCATGCGTCCAGAGGCTTGGCACACTGCAGAAGTGCGAGGGGGATAGAGGAGAGGGAAAGTGCGTGTGTGTGTGTGCGCGTGTGTGTGTGTGTGTGCGTGCGTGCGTGCGTGCGTGTGTGTGTATGTCTGTGTGTGCGTGTGCGTGTATGTGTGTGTGTGTGTTCGCCGGTGGTAGGTTCCTTCCAGGCCGCTTGCGAAGATCTGTTTCTAATCTCTTGCCTTCCTGCCCTGGCCCCTCGCCCAACCACTGCAGTTCGCCGCCGGCGCGGCTGGTACCACGTGGGCGCTGCGCGACGCGCTGCCGAGGTAAAAGTGCGGGTGTGTGTGTGTGCCGTCCTGCGATGATATGGCCGTTTTCGTTGGCAAAGAGTATGCGTGTGCATGTGTGTGTGTGCGTGTGTGTGCGTGTGTGTGTGTGTGTGTGTGCGTGTGTGCGTGCGTGCGTGCGTGCGTGCGTGCGTGCGTGCGTGCGTGTGTGTGTGTGTTTGTGTGTTTGTGTGTGTGTGTGTGTGCGCTCCTGTGCCACCCACCAAGCTGGGTGCTTTCGTAGCCCGACTCGCCCTGCGCTGTCCTCCACTTGCACTGCTGTCCTCCACTTACAGCCCTTGCATTCGCGATGGCACCGTCACCTGGCTTCCCTCTCCCTCCCGCCACCGCCGGGCGCCTCCTCCTTCCCCCTCGTGCACCGCGGCTTCACTCGCGTTCGTGTGCCCTGCCACTGCCTATCCGCCAGCGCAGTCCCTCTACCCTGAGATCTGACGTTGCAACAAAAATGCAACTTCGCAAAAAATCACGCCCGGACCCCCAGACCCCATTTTTCGGCGTCATTTTCCGAGCCGGATCGATCTATGAGGGTCCTGGGGCCCGAGATCGAGCGAAAACGCCCGCTGTGAAAAAAAAAAGCCACGCCAGGATCTCAGGGTACCTACAGCCGCCGACGCGACAAGTGCGCATGCTGTGGGGCACGAGGCGGCAAGTCCACCCTGTTCCGCCTCCTGGAGCTCTGGTTAACCCACGAGGGGGTCCAGCGACAAGGGGGTGGTGCAATAGATTTGGTGCCATAGCTTTGTGGGTTGATTTGGGGCGTGCAATACCTTCCGTTGCGCAACTGTGTTGCTGGGTCTTCGCGTGCAGCACACCAGTTGCAACACAATGCCATACAATTCTCTGGCGCAGCACAGTCGAGCATCTGATTAAGAAACCTCCTCCCGGAAAGCTGGGCCATCGTTTTTCAACCAACTTGTCCGAAAGTTGGCCCAGTTTCTTGAGCGCGTTCGCCCCTCCAGCGTTAGCATGAACACCTGGCCCAGGTTCGTCTTACGGAACTTCCAGAGAGCTGGGCCAGGTTTCTCAAGCTTTACTTTTCTGGATCACATGTTCGGCTGTACGCTTGCGATACGCTTGCCCCGAACCTGTGGCACCCCCCCCTCTCGGCTGGACCCCCTCCTGGGTCCAGCAAGAGGAGCGCTTCTACGACCCGAGCGCCGGCTCATGCCGAGGCGTCGGCGCGCCGCGCCCGCCTGCCCGCCCCCCCGCGCTCTGCGCTCCGCCGCCCCCCGGGGTCCGCCCGAGGGGCCGGCGGCGCGAAGGGGCGCTCTCCAGAGAGGGCTCCGCCCTCGAGGGGTCGACGGGCTGGCTCCTCTCATCCCGTAGGGGAGGAGACGTCAGAGGAGGAAAGAGGTACCCCTACCCCTACCCTCCGCCCGTTGTCCCCTTTTTGGGCCTCCTGGGAGGCCCGCGTCGCCACCGCTGGATTCGCCCCGAAATCCTGGTCAGAACGCACCCCGGGAGAGGTCCGGGGAGTAGGGGTATCGGTACCCTTTGGTCTCCCCAAGCAGGACCCAGAGATGTCCCACGCAGCGAAGAAACCTTCCGAGGAGGAGCAGAACCCAGAGATGTGTCCAGAGCGCATCGGAAAATTACGCTACCGAAGAACCCCACATACTTAATTTAAATCTGATGTGCTTGCTTATGTTTTTAATATATGCGCAATCCTGCGTTCTGAGCCCTCGTCGCGAATGTTTCCCTATGTGTCATCCAACGCCATATTGCTTGCCACGCTTTGCGAGCCCGCACCGGATAGGGAGACCACCCCCAGCGCACCCCCTGTCGTGTCGAGGAAGTGCCACGCCTGCCACGCTTTGCGAGCCCGCAACGGATAAGGATACCACCCCCAGCGCACTTCCCTGTGGTGTCGAGGAAGTGCCACGCCTGCCACGCTTTGCGAGCCCGCAACGGATAGGGAGACCACCCCCAGCGCCCCCCCCTGTGGTGTCGAGGAAGTGCCACGCCTGCCACGCTTTGCGAGCCCGCAACGGATAAAGATACCCCCTCCAGCGCACCCCCTGTCGAGGAAGTGCAACGCCTGCCACGCTTTGCGAGCTCGAAACGGATAGGGAAACCAACCCCAGCGCATCCCCTGTGGTGTCGGGGAAGTGCCACGCCTGCCACGCTTTGCGAGCTCGCAGCGGACAAGGAGACCATTCCCAGCGCACCCATTGTGGTGTCGAAGAGATGGCACGCCTGCCACGCTTTGCGAGCCCGTCACGGATAGGGAGACCACCCCCAGCGCAATCCCTGTGGTGCCGAGGAAGTGCCACGCCTGCCACGCTTTGCGAGCCCGTCACGGATAGGGTGACCACCCCTAGCGCAATCCCTGTGGTGCCGAGGAAGTGCCACGCCTGCCACGCTTTGCGAGCCCGTCACGGATAGGGTGACCACCCCCAGCGCACCCCTTGTGGGGCCGAGGAAGTGCCACGCCTGCCACGCTGTGCGAGCCCGCAACGGATAGGGAGACCACCCCCAACGCGCCCCTGTGGTGTCGAGGAAGTGCCACGCCTGCCACGCTTTGCGAGCCCGCAACGGATAGGGAGACCACCCCCAGCGCTCCCCCCCTGTGGTGTCGAGGAAGTGCCACGCCTGCCACGCTTTGCGAGCCCGAAACGGATAGCGTCCACCACCCACAGCTCACCCCCCCCCTGTGGTGTCGAGGAAGTGCCACGCCTGCCACGCTTTGCGAGCCCGAACGGATAGCGTCCCCACCCACAGCTCCCCCCTGTGCGTGTCGAGGAAGTGCCACGCCTGCCACGCTTTGCGAGCCCGAAACGGATAGCGTCCCCACCCACAGCTCCCCCCTGTGGTGTCGAGGAAGTGCCACGCCTGCCACGCTTTGCGAGCCCGAAACGGATAGCGTCCCCACCCACAGCTCCCCCCCTGTGGTGTCGAGGAATGCCACGTGTGCCACTCCCCCCTGTGCGAAGCACGAGGAAGCGGATAGCGTCCCCATTCACAGCTTCCCCCCTTTGTGGTGTGCCACGCTTGCCCGCTTGCGATCCCGAAACGGATTAGCGTCCCACCCACAGCTCCCCCTTTGTGTGTCGATGAAGTGCCACGCCAGCCCGGATAGCGTCCCCACCCACAGCTTCCCCCTGTGGTGTCGAGGAAGTGCCACGCCTGCCACGCTTTGCGAGCCCGAAACGGATATCGTCCCCACCCACAGCCCCCCCCTGTGGTGTCGAGGAAGTGCCACGCCTGCCACGCTTTGCGAGCCCGAAACGGATAGCGTCCCCACCCACAGCTCCCCCCCTGTGGTGTCGAGGAAGTGCCACGCCTGCCACGCTTTGCGAGCCCGAAATGGATAGCGTCCCCACCCACAGCTCCCCCCCTGTGGTGTCGAGGAAGTGCCACGCCTGCCACGCTTTGCGAGCCCGAAACGGATAGCGTCCCCACCCACAGCTCCCCTCCTGTGGTGTCGAGGAAGTGCCACGCCTGCCACGCTTTGCGAGCCCGAAACGGATAGAGCCCGAAGCCACGGCCACAGCTCGTCCCCACCCAGCTCCCCCCTGTGGTGTCGAGGAAGTGCCACGCCTGCCACGCTTTGCGAGCCCGAAACGGATAGCGTCCCCACCCACAGCATCCCCCCCTGTGGTGTCGAGGAAGTGCCACGCCTGCCACGCTGTGCGAGCCCGAAACGGATAGCGTCCCCACCCACAGCTCCCCCTTTGTGGTGTCGAGGAAGTGCCACGCCAGCCCGAAACGGATAGCGTCCCCACCCACAGCTCCCCCCCTGTGGTGTCGAGGAAGTGCCACGCCTGCCACGCTTTGCGAGCCCGAAACGGATAGCGTCCCCACCCACAGCTCCCCCCCTGTGGTGTCGAGGAAGTGCCACGCCTGCCACGCTTTGCGAGCCCGAAACGGATAGCGTCCCCACCCACAGCTCCCCCCCCCTTGTGGTGTCGAGGAAGTGCCACGCCTGCCACGCTCGCGAGCCCGAAACGGATAGCGTCCCCACCCACAGCTCCTCCCCTGTGGTGTCGAGGAAGTGCCACGCTGCCACGCTTTGCGAGCTCGAAACGGATAGCGCCCCACCCACAGCTCCCCCCGTGGTGTCGAGGAAGTGCCCGCCTGCCACGCTTTTGCGATCCCGAAACAGATAGCGTCCCCACCACAGCTTGGTGTCGAGGAAGTGCCACGCCTGCCACGCTTTGCGAGCCCGAACGGACCCACCCACAGCTCCCCCCCTGTGGTGTCGAGGAAGTGCCACGCCTGCCACGCTTTGCGAGCCCGAAACGGATAGCGTCCCCACCCACAGTTCCCCCCTGTGGTGTCGAGGAAGTGCCACGCCTGCCACGCTTTGCGAGCCCGAAACGGATAGCGTCCCCACCCACAGCTCCCCCCCTGTGGTGTCGAGGAAGTGCCACGCCTGCCACGCTTTGCGAGCCCGAAACGGATAGCGTCCCCACCCACAGCTCCCCCCCTGTGGTGTCGAGGAAGTGCCACGCCTGCCACGCTTTGCGAGCCCGAAACGGATAGCGTCCCCACCCACAGCTCCCCCCCTGTGGTGTCGAGGAAGTGCCACGCCTGCCACGCTTTGCGAGCCCGAAACGGATAGCGTCCCCACCCACAGCTCCCCCCCTGTGGTGTCGAGGAAATGCCATGCGTGCCACGCCTGTGCCACGCCTGTGCTGTGCTGTGTTGTGTGCTGTGCTGTGCTGTGCTGTGCTGCGCCGAGCTGTGCTGTGCTGTACTGTGCTGTGCTGAGCTGAGCTGAGGTGCGCTGTGCTGTGCTGAGCTGAGCTGTGCTGTGCTGTGTCCTGTACTGTGCTGTGCTGTGCTGTGCTGTGCTGTGCTGCGGTGAGCTGTGCTGTGCTGCGCTGTGCTGTACTGTGCTGTGCTGAGCTGAGCTGAGCTGCGCTGTGCTGTGCTGAGCTGAGCTGTGCTGTGCTGTGTGCTGTACTGTGCTGTGCTGTGCTGTGCTGTGCTGCGGTGAGCTGTGCTGTGCTGCGCTGTGCTGTGCTGTGCTGAGCTGAGCTGAGCTGAGCTGTGCTGAGCAGTGCTGTGAGGAGGAGGGGAGGTGTGAGGTGAGACGCGGGTGCGACGCGGCAGGGAAGAAAACCAGAACCCCACTAAGCATGTGGGGAACAAATATCTCAGGACGGAGGGTCTTCGCAAGTGTCGGCCTCGAGGGGCCCCCGCCCGGCCCCGGGGCCGTCGGAGAACGACGCGGGATGAAACACCGATCCGGGGGGATCGGTCGAGACTTCCGGGGGCCCCGCATGGAGAAAAACATCACGACGTTGGGTCTCTAGGGAGGTACCCATGCCGCTGCCCTGCCCTCGTGTTCCGCTTCTCGGGCCTCGGAGTCCTGGTCAGAACGCGCCCCAGGAGAGGTCTGGGGAGTAGCGGTATGGGTACCTCTTGGTTTCCCCAAGGCTGGCTTCTCGTCATGGGCGGAAGGCGGTGGATCGACAAAAAACATGCGATACCACCCCACGCACGGCCTTCCCTGTTGCGCCGCGGCCCATCGGGGGCCGCAGCGTGTGCCATGCAAAAGCCATGCCTCTGATTTGTTGGTAGACGCAGAGCCCCGTGGGGCCGCAGGCGGGGTGGTGTCGTTTGTTTTCTCGTCCAGTGGAAGGCTTGCGGAAGCCGTCGGAAGGAACACGAGGGTAGTTCTGCCAGCGGAAGGTAGGCGGAGAATCCATCGGAAGTAAGAGGTGTGCTTTTTCAATAGCTG